TTATGTAATCACTTATATAAATTATTAAATAAAGATATGAGCAAGACCTCACCTTTAATATAAAAAAAAAAAAATAAATAAATAAAAAAAATTTCATCAAATTTGGATAGTTGGGTGTCAAGAAAATATTGCTAAAAGTTTTAAAAAACTTAAAAAAATCTTGGAAAAAAATAAAAATCGGGTAAATTTTTCTTTCTTTGAACTTTAAATGATGATTTATTGACAACCAACTGTCCAAATTTAATAAAACTTTTTTTATTTTAATTATATGGATTCATAAAATTATAATAAAAAAATTTTGATCAAGTTTGAATAGTCAGTTGTTCATTAGAAGTTAAAAAAAAATTGGCCACAACTCCTTTTTTAAAGATATTTAAACTTTGAACGATGATCACTAGGCAGTTACCTGGTCAAATTTGACCAAAATTTTTTTATTTTAATTCTATAGGCTCTTAGCATTAAAATAAAAAATTTTGATCAACTTTGACCAGGTAAGTGCAAATAAACTTTATTCAAAGTTTAGATGTCTTTAAAAAAAAGCTGTGGCCAAATTTTTTTTTTAGCTTTTAATTAATATTTCTTGACATCTAGCTATTCAAATTCAATAAAATTTTTTTTATTTTAATTCTATGAATCCATAAAATTAAAATAAAAAATTTTTCATCAACTTTGGATAGCTGATTGTTGATAAATCATCATTTAAAGTTTATTAAAAAAAATTTAAAAAAAGAAATATAGTGGCCAAATTTTTTACTTAAACTTTAACTGAAGTTTTCTCAACAATCAACCATCAGAATTTGATGAATTTTTTTTATTTTAATTCTATGAATTCACAGAATTAAAATAAGATTGATTTTAAATAGCTAGATGTCAAGAAATATTAATCAAAAGCTAAAAATAATTTGGCTGCAACTTTTTTTTTTATAGGCAACTAAACTTTGAATGAAATTTACTTAGCATTTACCTGTCAAATTCGATCAGAATTTTTTATTTTAATGCTATGTGCTCAGAGAAATAAAATAAAAAAATTTTGGTCGAATTTGACCAGGTAACTGCCTAGTAATCGTCGTTCATGTCTTTAAAAAAGGAGCTGCGGCCAATTTTTTTTTAACTTCTAATGAATATTTCTCAACAACGACTATTTAAACTTGATCAAAAATTTTTTATTATAATTCTATGAATCCATATAATTAAAATAAAAAAATTTTCATCAAATTCGGACGGTTGGTTGTTGATAAATCATCGTTTCCGATTTTCATTTTTTTCCGATTTTTTTAAGTTTTTTAAAACTTTCAGCGATATTTTCTCGACACCCAACTATCCGAATCTGATAAAATTTTTTTTACTTTAATTCTGTGGATTCATAGAATTGAATAAAAAAATTTTGACTGAGTTTGAATAGCTGGTTGTAGAGAAATCATCGCTAGAAGTTTTAAAAAACTTTCGAATTTATTAATAGGATCTTATTGGCTGTTTCCTTTTTAGGAGTTTGTATTACCGGCACAAATAAGTAAAGCCCATTGACCCTTAGCGCAATGTCCATTGTTAACTTTTCGGGATAATTACTTCTTTGTTTATCATTTCCATAGCTAGCTAATTTAGTATAGGAATGTACTGCGCACGAAAACTTAATAACTATTTATATGGTAAACATATATTCAATAATCCGTACATACGTACGTACATGGCTGATTTGGGTAGTTCGTGCAAGATAGGACAAATACTATCGCTGTAGTTCAATTTTTGTAAAACAAAAATTTGTAAATTATATCTATTCTATTTTTATTGTCTGTTATTGTAAATCAAATCTGAGCATAACTCTTTTTTGCGCGGAGTTCTTGATCCAATATTGTCTAAAAAGTTTTTTTTTAATATAACACAAATCTAAACAGTATAAAATCCACAAGTTTGATACGTAGCGTTGTTTATTCTGATCATTTCTTTATTAATGTATAAATGTAAATGTATAAAGTTTGTCATTTTTATTTTGTAGTAGGAATATATAAAAGCTCATTGTAATTTTTAATGCTTACTGTTTCTTTTTTTTTTGAGTTTAATTCATATAACAAAAGTTCCAATTATGCTTATTGGAGTTACAAGTTCTTTTTGTTCTGACCCAGAATCAATAATCGAATGTCTTAAATCTGATAAACACGGCTTTAAAGACGGAAACGACGAAGTGAATGAATGGATCGAAGCAAAGAGAAAAGCTAAAAAGAAAATTAAAGAACGTTGGGATGAACTCTTAAAAATGGTCAAAAATCATTTTGAAGATAATTATGTGATCGAAATCAAAATAGGTGATTTAGAACAATTAAAGGAATATAGGTAATTCTTATATATAACCTTTTTAATACGAATTATAAAGATATAAATTTAATGCCATTTCCTTATAGAAAAAGTCCTCTTTTTTTATTATTGGCCGTGGATAATAAGTTGAGTGATAAATACAAAATCTGGGAAGAGAGGTGAGTATTAATTGTCTGTTTTTACGTCTGACTTTGATCGACACTGTCACGTGCATTTTGTCTATTCTCTTCTGCGTCTCTGATTGGCTGCCAATCAATAGACACAGTCTTAAATAAAAATTTTATTTTGCTTTGGACACACAATGCTATGAATTTCCTAGTTTTAAAAGTATTACTATCCGTTAATTAACCTTTTTAAATAAATATTATTGAAATAGAAACGGCGGCAAAGATTTTGAATTATTTATGAAAGAAAATGATAATAGAGACGGCAACACAAATTTTGATTTTGAAAAATTTTTTAAATCATATATATCATTTATGAAAGAAAATGATGTTTGGTGGGGAATCGATAAGAACCATAAATTGATGTCTATTGCTGATTTCACCGTGAAATCAAAAGATGATCTTCATAAAATTATGTTGTCACCAGTGCGATCAACGAAAAATGCTTATTTTATGTATTTAGCAGAATTGGCCGCATCAAGAACAAATTGTATGAGCCGTAAAGTTGGATGTGTATTAGTTAAAGACGGGTATAAAGTAATCGCAACTGGATATAATGGAACACCCACGGGTCTTAAACATTGTATTGAAGGTAATTGTAAAAGTTGTAAGGGTGAAGATAAGGAATTTTGTAAATGTATACACGCGGAAGAAAATGCGATAATGATAGCCGGAATGAATGCAAAGGATTGTATTCTTTATTGCACTACGTAAGTATATGTCAAATATAAATGAAACTTATCGGATCCTATCATTTTCCCGACAAGTTAATCCACATTAGGTTAGGGTTATTTGTCAAGAAAATGGTTGTAGAGATCTGAAATTTATATACACGTATCAGACATATAATATTTTTTATTTTTATTTTTTATTTTTTTTAGGTCACCGTGTTTTAGTACGTAATATGTTTTTAATGATCTTATTATTTCCTTTTATTACGTCATAATGAGCTTGTTATTTGAATTTTTAAGACTGCGCAAAAAAATTAATTCAAGCAAGGGTCGAAAAAATTTTCTACAACGAGTAAGAATGAATCCTAAAATTTCTTTTAGTGTTGTTTCATTTAATTATCTATTCAAGTACTTATATAATTATTTGAATATGAATTTCAAAGCCCTTATAAAGGTCTGGAAGAGGTCGAGGAATTATTTAACGAAGCTAAAGAAAAAGCTGAAATTGGAATAGAACGTCTCAGTAATGATTCGCTACCGCCAAAAAATTTCATGTTATATCCTTTATAATTATACTAGCAAGCCGTACGTGCTTTTCACTCATGACTAATAAGCAGTCAATCAAAATATATTTATATCTAAATTTAGGAGTTTTTTGTTTTCTTAAATTAGGGTTTTCATTTTAAGCATTTATAAAAATATGAACGTGTTTTCATATATATATTATTTATATTTTTAACAAATTTTGTATTCAGAATTAAATTTTATTTCAAACATTTTGCGATTAGGCCATACAAATTTAATTACTTGATTTTCATAATATGAAACTTTTAAATAGAGCCGACCGGCTATAAAATTTTATATAAATTCTGGAACAATTGAAAAAATGCCGGTGACCGAATCGATAAGTTTCTGAGTTTGGCCGAAGTCGGTTACTTATTGATTCCGACTCGCTAACTTATCGATTCGGTTCCAGAATTTATCAATAAGTTACTGACGTAGGCCGACATCAAAAACTTATCGATGCGGTCATCAACAATTTTCAAATGTCCCAAAATAATGAAAACAGCTGTAAAACATAAAAAATTTTTTGATCGGTGACGTAACTTCTTTTATGATTTACTTACCGTATTTTTGCGAGTAACAACCCAAAAAGGAAATCGAATTTTGTAAAAGTGCGTAAAAATAGAAGTTTAGGATTAGGACGTTAGGGTTGTGAGCTTTAGCAATAAATTAGAGTTTCTTATATGTAAAATTTCATTCCCGTTATTTTTTATTGGTTCACCAAGGTCGATTTAAACACTAGTTTTTGAGTATTTTTGCTTTCTTTTCTTTTTTTCTTCTTTTTCAATGTTTGGATTCTATGTCGGATTGATTCAGAAAACCCAAAATTTCTGTTCTCTGATTGGCCATTTCCTTTTTAGAAGTTTGTATTACTCGCACAAGTAAGTGGCTGCCTTTTTTTATGTCCCAATAGCAGGACTAGTGCTCAGCACAATCAAACAAAAATTTGATAGTCAAATATTTGTTAATACTTATGTTTAAATTGGATGCAGATTAACCAAAGCTAAATATATACTATTGGTTAATCTGCAATTATTTGATGTCCGACTTAATCACAAGTATTAACAAGTATTTAACTGTCAAATTTTTGTTTGATTGTGCCGAGCACTAAGCAGAACTCTGAAATATATATAGATAGATCAGATATTTTTTTGTTTATTTTTGGTTATTTTTGTAAAAAAATTTTTTTTAGTAAGATATAATGCTTTTTTTGCAGATCTTTCTTTTTTTAGTAATTTGTTAGGGTTTTTGGTAAAATCTTAGCTATTTATAGATATTTTGAAGTTCTCTAATAGTTATAACTTGAGATATAACAAATATGTCAAAAAGTCTTAACTCATATTTGCTATAAAATTATACATATACTATAATATTTGGCATGTACTATAATAATTAGCATATACTATAACATTTGATATATATTATAGTGTTTAGTATATAATACTTAGATATATATTGTTATAGTTAATAAAAACCTTCTTTTTAAAAAATAATAAAAATAATATAATAATATTTTATTATTTTTATATAGTATATTATTTATAGAAAATTTTTATTCATACATAGAGTATATATACACAGGTAGTATAAAAACCAACTGATATCTCAAAATTTTGATTATAAAACTACCTTTTGGCTTCTAACAAAAAAAATTACTTAGGAATTTTTGATATAAACTAACTCTTGCTCTAATCCCAAACTCACTCTTACTCTAACTATAAGTAAGGGTTTAATTTTTCATTTATTAAAGTTGTTTTGATTGACATATTATACAAAATTTGTTATTTATATCTGTGTATAAACACTATATGTAAATTAATAAATTTTCTTATTTATATTACTTTAAATAAAATTTATATTGTTAATATAATTTTGGAACTTGCAATTAGCTAGTTTAAAATTTATTTTATATATATATATTTTATAATTTGTAATAAAAATTATTTAATACCTGGAAGAGATAAACAAATATAGTTCTCTAATACATAACCAGAGTACTGCTACTTCTTGCAAAACTGTGAAAGCCAGATATATAGTGAGTGTTCTTGTAAAAGACAAATCTAAGACATCATTTCCAATATTTTTAAAATCTTATGACCTCTTAACCTGCTTTAACAAATTTCTTAAACACTACAAACTCTCACTTCTTCCATCCCCTCAAACAATCAACTCCTTCCTCCTCTATCTAATCAAACATAGTCTTTGGGACAATTTACAAAATAAACTTGTAATTTCTATTAAATCTAATTATAGTGAAGCTCATATATATACTCTACAAGAACCTTGCCTTCTTCTTGATCATATTATTATACTCTACCAAAGTGCTATTTTTGCAAACTCTTATACTTCTTTAAAATCATATACACCACACTTTTCTCCTTCCATATCTTCTAATCCTTCTTACTTTCTTTTAATTCTTTCTATATATACATATAATATTTGAAGCTTTAATCAAAACCTCAAATAACAAGTATAAGAACACTACTATCTATTTAATAATTTGCCTTACTGAAACCAAACTAGCTAGCAACAAATTTACCTCTAATGTCTTATTACTTCTCACTATATCTACTTCTGATCTTATACAGAAAACTCCAAAGCTAGCACTGCAATTATGATATATAACTTCTTAACCCCACATATTCACAATATTGTTACCTTTTCTAGCTATGCTATCTTCATTGATCTGTTTTTCAAACATAACTTTAAATTTTGTATTATCTCTATCTACCTTCTCTGTAACAATGCCTTCACTAGACTTGAAATCCAAAATATCATTATTAAATAGATACAAAATGTCTATACCCTCAATCTGCTCTCTATTATACTTGAAGATTTTAATGCTTTAACTGACAATATTCATTTCTTATCTATTAAATACAAACTTTTTTAATTTCTTACTTACAACAATATATATAATCTAGCTTTACATACTGTCTTATCTTCTCTTACTTGGCAAAATACTAGATCCTGCAGTAAAATCGATTTCATCTGGGCCTACCACACCATCTTAATCTATCTTATATCTTTTAATATCGATGATACTAACAATAGTTCTCTTAGTGATAACAAAATCCTTACTGCCTGTTAGTCTTTTCACTGTACCCTACATACGTGTAGCTAACAAAGACACAAAACATGTATATGCAAAAGAGTCTTTAACTACAAAATAATGAATAATGCAAAATAGAAAGACTTCACTAATCAAATAAATACCAACCTTCTCTCTAACTATACTCCTTCTACTATAGATACTACAGAATCTCTTAAAACTACCTAACACAAAATCTATACTAGTACTATAATAGCTATACTACAACATATTCCTAACAAAAAATTCACATTTCGAAACTTTCAACACACATTCTCTCCCAAGGCTACATATTTATACTCTAATTTTAAAAAACTTAGCAACATAATTAGATATACAAAACAAGCTCTTAAACATTCTCTTTCTATCTCCTTCTATCTCAACTTCTTTATTACTTTACTTAACCAATCCTCTAATCTAAACATTTTTCCTTTACTACATACATATTAATTTATTATTTCCTAGATCACTAATGCTAATACTAAGTAGAAAAAACTCTTTTACATCTGCAATTTAGAGAATATTAAAAAAATCTGACAACAAATTTCAAACTCTATTAACAAAAGATGCTTCAAATTACAAACTAATCCTACCTTAATAATAAATAGTATTCTTATCTGATACAAATATTCTGTTAAGTTTAACAATATATAGCTTGATAATAATATTATTACTGACCCTCTTACTATTAAATCCTATATTCAACAACACTTTGATAATTAGACTACACCTTGTTATATCGACTTCAACTTATTCAACTCCCAATGGCAATCTGAATATAATCCCAAATCCAACATCAACCCCATCTAGTATTCTAATACTCTTCTAGCCTTTATTGAAGAAGAAATTACTGCTATGATCAACCAACTCCTTAATAACAAAGCTTGCATCCTATCAGGCATTAGTTACAAAATATTTACACATACAGGCCCTACATTTATTACTTTAATAACTGCACTTTTTAATCACTGTCTCTCCATACAAACTATTTCCAAACAATGAAAAGAAGACTGCATCTTTCTTATCTCCAAAAAACCTATTTTTGATAGCAACCTTTGCAACACTAGACCTATTAGCTTAATTGAACACATCAAAAAGCTATATACTAAACTCCTCACTACTACCTCAATCTTACTTTTTTCTAACATAATATCTTGTCATCTTTTAACTTTGTTGCACTTTCTGGCAACTCAACTTCCATCCCTATTTACATTTTTAACAATATTATCAAGGATGCTAACTGTAATTCTAACCAACTTTGGCTTCTTTTTCAAGACATAAGCAAGACCTATAACTCTGTTAACTTCAAACTCTTCTAAAAATTACTATATCGCATTCAAATATCCTAGCAACTTATTAATATTCTAACTAATTTACTATTTGATTATACTAATTGTATCATTACAAATCTTGGGCTTACTAATTTTTACTCTGTTAAAAATAGTATTAACTAAGGAGAAACAATTACATTCCTTTTCTGAAAAATCTACTATAATCTCTTTATTTCATATATCTCTTTATATTTCTTAGGCTATACACTTTTTACTTTCTGGCAAACTAGCCTTATTAATCCTTTCTCCAACCATCTTAGTATCTCTATATCCATTCTTATCTATATAGATAACACTTTATGAATTGCTCAATCCAAATCACAACTAAAAGAAATTACTAGTATCGCTTCCTCCTTCTATTTAATAGCTAATATTCAAGTAAACCCCACCAAATCTATATTTATTACTAAACAAAGCTCTGATAATATTATATTTCTCAACTCTATTCTTCATTTCATTCCATCTCAGCAATTCTTTAAATTCTTGGGTTGCTGGTTTACTCTCAACAACAAACAAACTTCACAAATTAAACTCATCCAAGATAAAGCTATTCAACTTGCTAATATTGCTAGTACTAAAAATAT